TGAGAGCACTCCCCTACACGTCCGGCCATCAATAAAGAAGTGTCTGCTTATCTGCATCACATTGGTGTCGATAAGTTATTTTTATCCCGGATTTCGGTGACACCAGGAGATCCCCTCCTTTGTGCCTGGGATACTGACAACCAACAAGCTGTCGTAGCATCAATCAAGAATGAGAAGAAGGTGCAAAATGGGCAACTTCCAGCCTTCCCATAAGCAGCATGGAGAGAAGAATAACTCTGCACTACCTTGAGATCCCAGATCCTTCTCCAGAGCTTCCACAGAGTGCATGACTGCTTGCGTGGCTGCTGTGGTCTGTGGATGAGGCTTCTCTCAAACCGCCTCAGACCCCTTTTTACTCCATGCTCACAGCACAAGCACAGGAGGCAGCATTAACCCCATCAGCAGCTCACAGGCTCTAATCAGGTATTGCCCACCCCTTTTCAGGGAGGAATGAGAGCAAGCTCTGTGAAGAGGAAGGCAGAGGAGTGGAGAAAATGTAGGTCCAACACTACTGCAGGTGCTAACTCACATATTATTCACAAGTAAGGAAATACCTGAAAACCATACTGATGTTGCCAGGAAGAGGAGACAAAGAGAGAGTGTGTATCTGGTTTGCAGCTTGGCACTGTGGGCCTCAAGGGCCTCGCTAGCTGTTTGTCTCACTTTGCTTTTGGCAGCAGGAGCATGCCAGTGCTTCACTCCCATCCCTGGTGTGTGCAGGTTTGATTCCTGCTCCTCATCTTAGCTTCCAAAGCATTGCAAAGGCATCATGAAGTTTTGCCTGGGTTCTGGCCACTTCCTGATTTCTCCCTTTGCCCACCATGTGGTGCCTCAACTGCCCATGGACTACAGCTGCCATAAATACAGTCAAATCCAAATAGAAATGGGCAAGGAGGAAAAAATATGATTGTTACCAAGCTCAATAAATGGATATGTGCTTCTGTCTCAATATTCTAGTATGTCTTTCCCCCCTATAAGGAACTGAAGGAAGAAATGCCTCAAACATTCATTGACACAGAAAACCTCAAGGACAAGCTCTGGCCTTTGGATTAGTCTAAGAAATGTGACTCAAGGAAGCAGGAGTATATCGAAGTCCCCACTCCCTTGCAGTTGCATTGACAAACTCCTAAAATAAGCCTAAGAGGGGCAGACATGGAGGAGTGAAACCAGGTGTTTCCCCTCAAGCACAAGTACCTCTAAGCCTGATACTTTCTGGCTCTATTATGCAGTCTGTTGTGCAAGCCAAACACCATGCTTGCCTTAGTAATGACTTTGCACTTTCTTAGGAGAACTGATAAAAGATGATCATTCCCAAGATTAGTGCACCTGAGACAATGCTGGAGGGGTGCTGATACACATTTCTTTGGCCCTTCCCTTCCCATTTATAAGAGACCACATTCCTTATTATCCTTTTCCAAGTTTAAATTGCTCTCTACCACAAGTAAAACATTTCAACTGGTCATTTCACCTTAATTTAACCCAAGGAGATCACAGAATGTTTGTGGTTCTCTGGGCTTCCAGTCCGGGCCATGACACCCCCCAATTTCCAGTATAATAAATGGGTTCCTAAAGAACCCATAATTAACCTCCCAACGTTGCTCGAGGTCACGTATGCACAGGCACCCAGGCATGCCATCCATGATTACCTCAGGAAAGGGATGTAGTTCTGCCTACCCCAATGCAGCTGCAGCCACCTTCCTAACAGACCCAATGTGGCAAAGGCAGCCTCACCACCTCTCTTCATTAGCAAACAACAGATTTTTGTTCCTAGACCTGGCAAGGCCCTTCCCCTTACCCCGGCTTACTTATCTCCATCCATAAATGTTGAGATGGGTGGCTGTCCTCTGAATGTGCTTTGAAATAAGCACTGTATTAGCAGGTTATTCCAAGAAACAACCAAACTTTTCTTACAATGTCAGGTATTAAGGAAAATTAAGCCTGCAATTAACACCAAGCCACTTAGAAACTGAGATTTCTGAAACCATGATTTCCAGCATAGGGCAGACAAAAATGACTGAAACTATAATCCTAATAAACTATCTGCTACAAACATGCTTTTTTTCCAATAAAATTTCCAAATTGGTTCTTATAGAAAGGACTTTATTAGAATGTTATTAAACATGTATCCTCCTCTTCACCTCTGTTTAGCTAGCTGCAAAGGCAACAACGGAGTGATGACGCTTTCCCAGTATTTTGACAATTTTAAGAGCATTCGGGAGTCTGCTTACCTTTAGCACAGTTTTAGGTTTGAAACTAACCTTCCCCCCATTCCTTGTTTTGCAACACCATGTCATATTAATGAGGCAGTAAACGGGGAAACACCAGAAATACTCTTCTGAATATTGCAGGGCAGTGTTACAGAAACTGGAGCACAGACTCAAACAAGCGCTAGTGCTGCAGAGCTACAGTTCACCATCACAGGTCTGTGGAGCCACCGATACCACTTCTTCCCTTCCTCTCTTCTCAGATTTATACTGCATCATTCAACTCCCAGGGGCTTTCACAATCCCTCACGGGTATAAATCATTCCAGAAATTACTTCATTTTACATGCAGAAGTTACGTCCGCATATAGCGTGACAGTTCTCCATTTTCAGAGTCCTGTGTTTCCATGCTATTGGGGTGCAGACACAACCTTAGTTTTTAACACTTCAACAGAGGCCATCGGTAGGAGAGGTCCTTGCAAAAGTCAAAAAGCATAACTGGACGCTGTGGTTTGGAACCCAGTCACTCAGGCTTTCAGATAGCCCCATCTTGACTGCCTTATGGTAAATGTAGTTTCATACAGTCTTACCAAATCAGTAAAGCAAATCAGCAACTGCATGAGGGAGAACAAGGCATCAGAGTAAAATGGGAGTGCTAAGGCTGCTAACACTGTTACTGGCCCACCGGGTCAGCTGGCTAAATCCTGCTGCTGTTGTTTGCATCCAGAACTGTCTTGCATAACACTGAAACTGTCCCAGTGAAATCCACAAACAAGGGGTATCACATATTACATGCTCTGTGAGTGTTAAATATTACTGAATGCAGTATTAATCAAAAGAATGGAGGCAGCAGATCAAATTTTCCAACAACCTAAACATTGGTATTTTTCCGTTCTGCACAGAAGGGGAAAAAAAAAAAAAAAAAAAAAAAAAAAAAAACCAAATTATATCTTCTGAATGTTTTCCTGAAATGGATTGTACCAGTTAGATGGCTGGTTAGATCCAGTCAGGAACTCTTTAAAAATCAGAAGTCTTGGCATCTGTCTGATCCTGGGCAGATCTCAAGTGATGCATTTCAGCATTTCTTCGACCATGAAGCTTCAACCAAAAATATGCCAGTGTGGTCAATGTATTTGGATCAAAGATTAATTTACACTCCAATATTAGCAACATTGGCACCTTTCCGACCGTTCAGTTTTAGCAACAAGCTGAAGCTCCCACAAAAATATGCAAGGAGAAGTTTCTTTCATGAGTCATCGCTTAAAAACCTAACCAGTCATTTATTTAAGTTAAAATTGCAGCCAAAAACTGGCAAGAGCAAGTCTGGAAAGAAACATAGTTTACACACATGACCGACTATGCATCCACGTGGCTAGAAGAGCTAACGTATTTGACAGTAGTGGGAGAAAGTTTATAAATTAGCTTTCCTTATTACTTCCCTCAGTTGTAGGCTCAGCCTTACCTTCTGATCCAGTTCTGTGACAGCTAAATATATTATATGCATTCCCATAACACCAGCCATCTCTCTGCTGCTCTGCATTTTGCTTTGGATTATAAACTCAAAGAAAACATTTACCCTCTCAGACTCTGGAACCAGAGAGTCATTGCAAAGCTTGGTGTCCCAAAAAGGAACCCAAGATTTTCTGTAAGCCTATTTCACAGATTAATAGAGAAAATACTTGGCTCCCGCAGGTGAATATAGCGAACATAAGGCAGGCTCAGGTATGGAGTGTGTTTCATTGCGTTATGATTGTCCCTGGAATTGCCAGAGGGGTCACTCTGCATGCTGCTCCGCTGTTAACAAGGTCTCTATGAATGGGAAAGCCCTTCCTGCACACCCTGATGCTGCTGCAGAATAGTCCAAGAGAATGGCTGGATGCTACTATTGCTAAGCTGTTGTGTGCTGTGAGGAGGCTACAGAAAACTACTAAAGAGACCACAGATTTCTCCACCAGCGTTTCTGAAGTGAATTGAGTTTTTAAAGCTACAAAAAGCTACAGGGAAAGAAAAAAATGGAGTTGGCATAAGAATTCGATACCAGTTTCATAAATAATGGAAGACTGACCTCAAGAGCTTGTTAAAAATTACAGTGTTTCTCTCTGGTCTGCAGTTTTACAGTGAAAGGAATTTCATAAAAGGTAGCAACAGTACTGCCAGCGTTAGGCTAACTTGGAGGGAAATACCACGGAATGCTTTGATCCTGCTAATGTAAGAAAGTATCAACTTCTTGGAGGAGAAATGGGGGAAGAAAAGTGCTCTTGGGCACCAAAGCACTCTCGAGCAGATAGACCGAGCAGTTTCAGGCACAGAAGCAGGCTAAGCCAAACACTCCTCTCGTGATGTGCCCAAATCCCATATACACAATTCAAGCTATATTCCCTGTAGGTTGAGGAAGCACACATATTCTCCCTGAATGTGTTAAAAGACTCAGAATGCATTTTTAGTATTAAAACTTACATAGGTTGTTTTGGTTGGTTGGGTTTGTTGTTTAAATCTCTCACTTTCCACTCTTACAGAAAAATACTTCTGGAACAAGTTTACCTCAGTTTGCCTGTTTTCTGATATTGTTATAGCAAGTAAGGATAAATTAGCAGTGGATAAAAGGCAGCATATGCATAGTCTCAGCTTTTACAAAGTGGCTTTTTAGCAGTCTAATTAGGTTTAATCTACCTACAATTGTGTTCACACAGGAGAAAAAGGCTTCTGGAATATTTCAGTTTAACTGTTTGACAACTAGCATCAGCTATAGCAAAGTTCATCAATAATACAGTTACCAATTAACACACTGCACAATTATTTTAAAAAAATGGAAGTTTATTCATCTTTCAATGGCTCAAATAGCAAATAAAAGGACAGGCTAAGGCATCAGCCAAGACAAAATTTCATGTGTCCAGTGGCTTCATAACACCTCAGTTCCAAGTATACAGGTCCCAAAGCAAAGTCACAATGTTAGTGGTTAGACTCCCTGGCTAAATAGACCCAAATGAGTACACAGCAAGATGAAGACTGGCTTACTTGCCGCAGTTACATGAGTAACTTTAATTCTGCACTTGGCAGTCTACTAAATGCACATACAAAATTCCTATTGATAAATATTTAACATGACAAATATAACTTCTAAGACTTGAGTCCCTAAAATGTCTGTTAGCATGAAAGTTAAATATTTGTTACTTAGCTTGCTTGAGCACATTTTTAACTGTCAGTTATAGGTTTACACATGTATAAAAAGTGTAACAGTTTGTGGAATTGATCTAGCCTGTCTTACCCCAGGAGTAGTCCAAAACCCTCAAACGTTCTGGTATATTTTTAGTTAAGATGCAGCATACTAACCGTGTGCTAGTATTCTTGCTGTTCTGAAGCAACTGAGGCAGCATGTTTTGTTTGGGGATTTTGGATGCATGTGGTAAATGTTTCTGTATTGCAAAGCATGTTTGATTGTTTAATATCAACATTAACTAGAAAAAGTAGCTACAATGTTCCCCATTTGAAAGTCAACATAAACTAGACGAAACAGTACAAAACCTGCAAAGAGCTTCAGCATAACACAGCATGTTCCCATAGCCCAGTATTAGGAACACAAAAGAAATTAACTGATGACACCAGAATTTCCTGGACAACATCTTAACTCAAACCACATTAGCACTACTGAATCAGCTCCACTCCACCCAACTCCAGGGAGTTAAAACCCAAGGAACATCTAGACAAAAATCTACTTGCAAAAGGGAGGTTTCAAGGTACCAGCACATTAAGTTTTAAACAACCATTCCAGGCTTAGATGTGCCATGGGCTTATGACTTCAGCATTACATGTATTCTGACCTTTTAGTTTTAGGATACCGTATTGTTTACCAGGTTAGGGATGACAGAATATGCTCTGTATTATTCACAATACCAGAGTATGGCACACATTTAAAGAACAGACACTTCTAGCAGACAGCTAGTTAGCGAAACCATTCACATAACTGCACTCCACAGAAGGGGCAGTCTGCACTGATGCAGGGACAGTCTCCATGCAACAGAGTTGAAAATACACCCTTGATTAAGCAACCTGTTATGTTTAGGTTTTAAAATTAAGGCATATTCAAATGTTTCCATGTAAAAGATTACATCACTCTTCTAGGTTAATCAGGTAATGCAGAACCACATATAATTTTCCTCAACAGAAACTGTTCGCATATAAATTATTCTTTTCTAATTTGCATAACTCCATGGCAAAATAACTGCATACCGCTTTGTTAGGTATCACGTCCACAATTGTAATTTTCAAGGCAACAAAAGACAAGATGAATTGACAATTACCAGTGATAAAAAAGTATGCTTTACAAGAACCCACAAAGTAATACTTCCCCCCTCTGTTCACTATTAAAGAAAAGACTGCCTATGAAACACTACATTCAGAAGAAATGTGAGAAGGTAGGCAATTATGAAATGGACTGAACTTTGCTTCTCTTGAAGCCACATTTTTTTTTTTTTTCAGTGAATTTGACTTTCAGTGCAGCTCCAATTCATGCTTTTAGTGGTACATTACAAATTCCAACATGTTAGAGTAATTTCAGTCACTTGAGCCTTCAATGGCATGCTTATAAATTATGGTTTTTATTAGTATGGTCAGGGTAGGAAAGGAATTCAGGATTTTGATTATAAAATGCAACATCTTTCTCTGATCCTCTTAGCTAGGCTTTTTCTTTTCTTCTTCCCATTCTTTTCTTTGCTGTCTTCCATTTTTCTGGCTCTAATTTCTCTCATTAAATCGAAAAAAACCTAAAAAAAGATGTAAGGTGGTAAATGCAAAACCAGTCAAAGAGACATGAGTTAATTTAAACTACCACTGATACCCATTTCAGTTGTTTAGAATAAAGTCGACAATTGAGCAAATAAATATTAATCCAACAAATCTTTCCCTGGTTTTCAAGGCTAAAATGATATGATGCAATCCTGCTTCTTTCACGGTACCATCATGTTCCCCTGTCTTCTGGTATTTGCTTATGAATCCTATCAGATGATTTTCCACAAGGACTGAAACAAGAATCTCATCACCAGCCAAGACTTTTTAAAATGTATTATCTGCATCTTACTGAGGAGTCTTAAGGAAATCAGTTTACATTTCTGAGTATTTTCAGTGATGGGCTGTAAAGGATGAAAAAGTGCAACATCCAGTCCTACAAACTTATTAATGTAGCAGTACAATACACTGAACATTTCATGGTCAGTATGTCCTATGATGCACATCTAAACACAGAGTAACTAGGAAAAAAAGAAATCAGCATTTCCTTTAAAGCAAAGTTATCAATCATATACTACATAAACATTTTTTTTTAGAACAGGTTATCTCAACTTCCATATTAGAGTCTCAAAGTACATATGAACTTCATCAAGTGGTTTAGCAGGAAACAAAAATGACAAGTTGGAGATACACAAGCAACTTGAGAGATCCTACTGTCAGTTAAGGCTTTATGATTGGACAGCTTAAAGGTACTTTAAATCATACGAAAAGCAGATCTTGACTCACAGGAAGCTACAGCAAATAATCGTTTAATCTTTGCAATTTTATTGTAGGAAATCAGCTGAGCAATTCTAAGACTTTTCTCTCTCAGGAAGCGTTCTCCAGATCTACGTCAGGGGATGTGATCCATTCCATGACACATGGATAGTGCAGGGGCTGAAAAGCTCCTCTACAGAGCTCAGTAGGTTTTTATTTGCAATGACACTAATCTCATATTGACTGCAGCAAAAGCAACCTTCATTACACAGGTTCTGAAGAAAATCAATGTAACTAAACATTTCCAGCAAGAAATAAGATTGCCTTTAGATTTCTAAATCACTTGCTTGTACTTAAATCTGCATTAACGGTAAGTTGCAATTGTCAGCTTGCTTCAGCATAGATACTGTACTCCAGTATTTAGCTGCCTGGGTACATAACCTTCCAAGCAGATGCTTAGTGGGTCACCTTTACCAAAGTGAGTGGAAGCTGACTGTTTTCCCCAGGTGAAATTCAGAGAAGCCAGATTTCTTATAGTAACTTAAAAGTCAAACAACAGACCTCACCACTTCAGATGCTCCAAGTAACTAGGAATACCTGGTACTTACTAGTGCCAACAAAGCATCATTTACGGCTTGTCAAACCTTAGTTCTACGATACATGCTAATCTGGATCGATAATGCCACCAGCTCCAAGAAGAAACTTGGAGCTCTGTAGTAAATTTTATGCAACCGGAATAAATATGCTTGTTTCTTGTTGGCAAAAATGTGTTGATTCTAACGGTTTTTATTTCGATTCATAAATTTTATTCTGAGCTGCCACTTCAAACATACAGGTTGAAATTGGCAATTAATTTCCGAACAGCCCGATAGCTTACCATGTGTGAGCAAAAGCTATTGATTACAGAACTATTTAAAAATATATATATACACACACACCCACACACTTTTTTCCCCCAGCTGCTAAATGCAGTGAAGTAGATTTTGAAGAGCTGGGAATTTCTACTTGAGTGTAATAGAAGGATGTTAACTGCAACCACTCACCAAAACTAAAAGGCGTACTAGCTTTTATAACAACAAAAATCAGAGCTGTACTCAACAATGAGACTGAGTTCTGCTGCATTTTCTTGACTCAATTTTATCTACAGAACTTACTGTAGTACCAAACAATGAATTTCTTCAGGAAGACAACTGACAGGAGACAGCAGTCAAATTTATGTTACTGCAAAAAAGAACTCACATTACAGGTGTCATGCTGCAACTGACAGCTCATACATAAGGATTTACATTATAGAATTTTTCAATGTGGGATCAAGTCTGTCAATAGCTCTGAAAGGAAAGGTTGGCACATTGAACTAAACTACTCATTTCTTTTGCCACACACTCGTTACTCTTGCAGTCTTCCAGGCTGAGAGTTAATCTCAATTATGTATCCCAAGAAGTCCTGTCTTTTAGAGTTATAGCTGAAATACTTACAACTAATCAATAATTTATTTTCTTGGAGACAAAGATTCTCTGTCTCTTTTCTCACGACCTTCTGAACCAGGTTTTATCCCTGAAAACTCATGAGGCACTTCTAGGCTGTTCAAAGCTGGAAAAGTTCATCCATTCTTCATTGAAGCAACATGCAACCAGGGATCTGGTTAAATGAAGGTAGAGAGGGCTTCAATCTCTCCCTCACCTGCTTTTGTAAATTGATTTATTCTGGCTGAGGGTCAGACAGCATTCCTCACTATTCAGAAGCAGACTGTCTTCTAGCTATAAAAAACGCAATACAAAGCCAAAGCCAAAATAGCTGCCTCAAGAAATTTTTAATGAAATAGGGGTCCTGTATAACGTCTTGTATAATGAATCCTTGCAGTTTAGGATGATATACACTTGTAGAACAGTGTATAGGCATAACATGAACCTAGGCATAACATGAACCTAGGCATAACATGAACCTAGGCATAACATGAACCTAGGCATAACATGAACCTAGGCATAACATGAACCTAGGCATAACATGAACCTAGGCATAACATGAACCTAGGCATAACATGAACCTAGGCATAACATGAACCTAGGCATAACATGAACCTAGGCATAACATGAACCTAGGCATAACATGAACCTAGGCATAACATGAACCTAGGCATAACATGAACCTAGGCATAACATGAACCTAGGCATAACATGAACCTAGGCATAACATGAACCTAGGCATAACATGAACCTAGGCATAACATGAACCTAGGCATAACATGAACCTAGGCATAACATGAACCTAGGCATAACATGAACCTAGGCATAACATGAACCTAGGCATAACATGAACCTAGGCATAACATGAACCTAGGCATAACATGAACCTAGGCATAACATGAACCTAGGCATAACATGAACCTAGGCATAACATGAACCTAGGCATAACATGAACCTAGGCATAACATGAACCTAGGCATAACATGAACCTAGGCATAACATGAACCTAGGCATAACATGAACCTAGGCATAACATGAACCTAGGCATAACATGAACCTAGGCATAACATGAACCTAGGCATAACATGAACCTAGGCATAACATGAACCTAGGCATAACATGAACCTAGGCATAACATGAACCTAGGCATAACATGAACCTAGGCATAACATGAACCTAGGCATAACATGAACCTAGGCATAACATGAACCTAGGCATAACATGAACCTAGGCATAACATGAACCTAGGCATAACATGAACCTAGGCATAACATGAACCTAGGCATAACATGAACCTAGGCATAACATGAACCTAGGCATAACATGAACCTAGGCATAACATGAACCTAGGCATAACATGAACCTAGGCATAACATGAACCTAGGCATAACATGAACCTAGGCATAACATGAACCTAGGCATAACATGAACCTAGGCATAACATGAACCTAGGCATAACATGAACCTAGGCATAACATGAACCTAGGCATAACATGAACCTAGGCATA